GTCTATTTTCGACGACGGGAACCAGCGGATTTAAAAAACAAAGGTTCCTCCCCATCGTGCCCATTCCGGGGGGGCGGGCATCGGGTCCTACAACACTACGGCGGTCCTACAGGCCGACAAGCATGCAACACACGAAGAAAACAATCACCCAAAAACAAAACCCCTCGCCTTGTTTGAGGGTCAAAACGAATCCAAACCTGAGCAGCTCCAAGCTCCTGCACGTAGATCTCCAACATTTTGAAGGAGCGCTGCCACATACAAGTTTTTTCCAAGAAGATAAGGGGCTTCTTGCCGCATCAAAAGATTCAGACTTGAGGAAGGACTGCGTCCTTTAGCCAGCGATCCTAAATTGACTCGGGAGTCTTGAAAAAGAACAACGCGCTGATCACGTTTAAGGCGTTTAAAAAGAGAACGTCTCGCTTTCGTTTCTTGCAAGTTGATATGGGACACATGTTTGAATTGGTACTGCATGAAAGGCTTCCAAGGCATAGACTCCGACAACTGCACCGCCCACAAAGGAGATGCAAATTTCTGCTTACGACCTTGCCTAAGTCCATTCCTGTCTCCCCTGATGTTTTGCTGTTCCGGGGCCTTTTGTTCAAAAGGAGGCCAAAACGAACAACAATGTCTGGCAACAGCATCACAAAAGGTTTTAGAGTAGGCCCCAGCTTGGGTAGTAGTGGCTCCCTTCAACGGAACATGCCTGCTAACATGATGACAACGTTTGCCTAGACGGTCAAAATGCGGGAAATTACTGAATAAACGCGTCGTTTTCCGAAAAGGTTGCCCATACCTACACCAATCAAACAGGATTTCCGGAACGCCCAAAAGTTTCAGAAAAGTCCACGGTTCAAGGGCCCTCATAAATCCGAAACCCGGCTGTTCACCTGCGAAAAAGTGCCCAACCGCTAACTGCACCATAGCAATAAGTAAGCTTTGGGCAGCATGCAGATTTCCCAACATGGTCACCAAATCCAACAGGTCAAATCCCCAAGGAATACGCAGGGATCGGACTTTAGGACACCGCGCTAATGAAAACGTAGTACAAGGAGGGGACCACCAAATAAACTTCACTTTCCCACAACGAACCAACCCCAAAATCCCCCAAAAAAGTCCGGCGTCCTTAAGATCCCATCCCTGCTTAAGCTCAAGAGGGGGCAACGTTCGAAACCCGTGTCTAGCCCATGATTTACTCATCTGAGCGCAGCCAGAATATAGTTCCAAAAAATCGAACGGGGACTCTTCCAAGTGCGTGGGCCAACCAGGGCTCCAATCCGCAGCAAAAGCCTTCTGTAAAAAAGACCCCGTCCAATCTCGGACATGATTGAATTTGGGCAAAGAACCGCAAGCTTCGCGGTCATCTTCTGTCTCTGTCAAAAAATCATATACGGCATCCTCGTTCCAACCTGAACCTTTCAAACTGGCTCCAAGTCGGCTGAGAAGCGGCATACGGTAGCCCTGTTTGTCCCCCCTCCTCCACAACTGTCTAGAAACGTTTTCACCAACCCTAACCCGACAACAACCCGCCCCGGAAGGCGAAGCATCAACACAATAAACAAAAGGATCAGGCAACACAGTCAAATCGTTCAAACATAAGGGGGCAAGCAAAGCCAAAACCATCAGTTCATTACGGGCTTCTCTGGAGAGTCTAAACACTGTTTCCCCTGTAGAAGGTCCCTGCTGATGGTAAATTGCGTGCATGAAGCTGAACATGGGTCGCCTGTACTGAGCGCAATGGGCCCATAACCCCGTCACAGCCTCGACGATTTTCAAATCTACCCCTCCCGGCTTTGCTAGTTCGGCCGAAAACTTTGCCAGTTGAAAAAGTCGTCCTCTGTTAGGGCCAACAAGACCCTTCTCACCTTCAATTTCAGCTCCCCAAACCTGCGCATGTAGAACTCGTCTCCGTCGTTTCTTGGGGTGGGCTTCTAATCCAACCTTGGCGTAAGCCTCCTCAGCTGATGCAAAGGCCGCTTCGTCTCTTCCAGGTTGCGCGAGAGCGCGCTTTCGAGAAGACAAGCGAGGCAAGAGCTGAACTCCCAAGTGATCATCGATCATCACTCCCTCATAGAAGCCAGTAGTGCTTAAAGGCAATGGTTTACGGTAGGAAAGAGTTTCACTATCCTGCATTCCCCCAAAAGTTCTTAACACATTCACATGACTTTCCTGGGCAATGTCAACAGCAGCGTGGTCTCCCATACCTAACCCTTTAAAGCAACACACCAGCTTGTCACCTGGCTTGATTCGCCCTTCATTGAGAGCATCTTGACACGCCTTCAAATGGGCCACCTCTCTGTACCAAAACGGGGGACCTACCGGTGAACTTTTGGCCCTAGCCTCCGAAGCAGTGTAAGCATGGTAAAAGTCCTTAACATCATCAACAGAACACACTAACACATGAGTCCTTTCCATGGGGAGTTGGCACAAAAGCACGCCGTGAGGCAGGTCCCTAGAAGCCCCAACAAAATGCTGTTCTCTTTGGTTCCGCCTTTTTCTATGCAAGATTTGCCGGTCCTTCTCTTCATCTTTAGCCACGGCAAACAATTCACACCTATCAGACTCATCCACATCAGAACTCTTGCAAACAAAAAGGCGGTTGAGTCGGTCCCATCGTTGACACACTTTGAGGAGCTCTTGTCGAGTGGCAGTGCCCTTAATCTTCACCGGTTCCGGCATGTCTTGGGGCGCTTTCAAAAAGGCGCCGGGCTCTTCGTAGATTTTTCGAAACAGAGGAGTTAAAAATGGGGTTGGGTCAAAGTCTCGCACTTCACTGGGCAAACTCAAACGTTCCGCAATGACTGGCAAAGCTTTTGTCGCAGCAAAAGAGGGGTCTTTCTTTTCGACGAAGGCCCTAGAAGAACATGCATACGGCAACTTAATTAGACTACTTAATTGCTCTCGCAACTGCTCCAATCGGTTCCTAGCTGCGGGCAAGCGTGAGCCGCCACTGGATTCCAGGCCCAGGCGGACAACAGAACATGCAAGACCCTTCAAAAACTCTACCATTGCTAGTTGTGAGTTGTTTAAAGGGGCCCCAGACCTCCCACGCTCGGGTGCAACAGCACATCCAATCGCCTGTTGCGACAAACCACAAACCAACAAGTTGACCCAAATCTCAACCGCCCTACGAACTTTCCATCGCTGCACCCTACGAGCGGACCTCCTTGGGGAACCAGTTTTGGTAATAGCCCAAGGGTAAGGAGGAGGACACGGATATAGGTCAGCTCCTTTGCTGTCCGGTTTGGATTCCTGCGAAGGCTTCAAAGTGCTTCGCACATAGCAAGACACAGTCAGATCCGAATTCAAAAGATCACTCACTAAGTTACGCAACCAATCAAAAGGGGTACGAAACTCAGCAGGTGGGTTGGACTCTTTAATTACATGCGGGCAAACCCAGTTCAAAAATCTGTGGGCTCTCAGGTGGCGTTGTCCTTGTCTTTGTCCTTGCCCTTGCCGTTCCCTTTGGCATTGAGCCCCGTCCGCTTCTTTGTCAGCCATTCTTCTTCCTTCAACTGGTTGATCACTGCCGCCACCCATGTGCTTTCGGACAGTCGATTGTACACCAGTTGACGCCTGATGGCGCCCACGTCCTGAGTCGCCCAATGACCCCATGGAGGCTCCTCGGTACAAGTCAATCGGCTGGCCACCACCCAACTTTCGTCGATCAGGAACTGCTCTAGAGCTGCCATCATCCTGAGCACATGCAAACGTGCCTGCTTGGGTTTGCTTTCTAGGAGCAAACGGTGAACTTCGGCGAATCCCTGGAGACAGTACCCCGCAGTTCGCGATTTCCCCACGGGGCTTCCCTTCACGAACTGCAGAGGGATGGAGGGGGTCATTTCGGTAGCATCGCAAGCTTTCAACATGCGTTGCTCCATCCTTTCCTGATAGGCCTCGGGATGGCCCTTCATGGCATGCTTCACCTTCTCTACTGCTTCGATACCTCGTCCTCCTTTGCTGCTTGAGCTCCAGCCTACACTTTCGTCCTGACTGGACTCCGAATCTTCCCAAAAGGTGAGTCCTGGCAGCTTCTTCTTCGACTTGGTTTTGGTCTGTTTCTGCTGTAGGTCCTTCATCAGCTTGAGCATGGAGAGTTTCATAAGGTCGTCTACCGAGGCCGCGTCGACTTCTTCTAACTGAGGGGTATCTACAAAAGTCTCCAATGTTCTTCCCGGCTGGTCGGGCATTGCTTTTGGCCTTGGCTTGAGGTAGCGGCTTGCTGCCTCCACAGCTTCGGAGATTTCCTCTTCTCGCACGCCGCTCTTTTGCGGCAAGGCGCCTCCTGGCTGCTGCTGAGTTTTGGGCTTTGGCGGATTGTCTGCAGGTCGGGGTTGCCGGTCTTGAAGGTCGTGGATTTGGTTCTCCATGAGCCTCAAGCGGCGGTCCATCATAGTCTGTAGCTTTGAGATCTCCTGAAGCAACCGACTGTCCCGATCTTCTGCCTCGAGCGGTCCTTCCACTGCCGTCTGAAAGTCGTCTGTGCGCAGCGCCCCTGTCTCGAGCCAAGCCACCATGTGTTCGTCCAGCTCGGCAATGTTGGGCATTTGAAGGTCCCGGGTCTGTTCGGTGAACGCGTTCACCACTCTCCGGCTTCGAGCTGTCCTGTTTTCGAGCTGGAGTCTGATGGCCATTGCGAATTCTACCAACACGACATCCACTTCGACATCTGGAGTCTCGGTCAAGCTCACTCTGACTTCGTGACTGGGACCCACCAAGGCATCTGGATCTGCTGCATGTCCTGCTTCTAAGTCTTCGTCCGTCAGAGCACCCTTCGGCAAAGCTAGAATCAGCCCAGTAGCGCAAACTCGAACTGGAAGGGCAAGGTGCCATTCGTTGCCCACTGCAGGCCACTTCAGCATCAAGGTGTCTACTGGCTGACCATTCCCATTTATCACACGCAGGTTCAAAATGCCTCTTTCGGCAATCGGCATGGTCTTTGAAAAGGAACAACTGCTGACTCAAACAGGGGGGGTCCTCAAGACCTGGCGGAGGCCGAAAAGCCAGGTAGTTGAACGGCAGCGTGCTTTCTTGCGCTAGGTTCTGGCACCCAACCTCCCAGCCTACAGTGAGAAAGAAAATGCCAAACAGGTCAGCTAGCAGCCACCACCAACGCCGTAGTGTGCTCGGAATGCTGTCAAGCAGGTTTCTCCACCCAAGGAGCGGAGCCGTCCTTCACGCACGATACCGCTGCAAGCGGTCAGGGCTTCCTGTCGGCCTTTCTGGTCTTGGCCTCAAGTCTTGGTCTGCGCCCTCAATCAGAAAGTAGATCAATCGGGCGGTGGCCACCCGACACCGAGCTGAAATCAAAAGGCCCACAATGATGCCCCCACAGCAAAATCCCAGAATGAAGGCCACCAAAAAGAGCAGGATGAGTTCAGCTAATCGAGGTGTCGAGTGACAAAGACCAACTACGGGGCCAAGCGCTGACAAAATATCACTAAGCATTCGAACCGGAAGTTTGCTACAGGGCCAGCACCTAAAGCTGAGGTGATCCGGGAAAAGAATCGCAAGACATGCTTAACATGTCGACATTGGCTCACACAAATTGTGTACCATATTGTACCATGTACCACGGTTTCAGGAAACAACATGACAAACACGTGGGACACGTCCGGCGGGTTCCTGGATGCTTTTGAGTCCCCCAATATAGATGGAAAAATGATCCCTGCAAACTTGCTGCTCCCACCAACACCCTCCAACAGAACTTTCCTGGTGACAGGTGCTCAGAAAGCACCTGTTAAACATCCCCAAAAAAAACCTGTTGGAGATTCCCGGTGTAAAATGGAAGATTGAGGATTATGAAAGTGGCGGCACAGAACTCAACATCACCCGCTAAGGCTCGTCTCCCTCTCTCCCTCGCGTGTGCCGGGCGGCCGTTTTGGCTCCATGGCCCGTCAGGAAGCTGCGCAGCGAGGGCTCATCGAAGATGGGCTTGGGATGCCTTAGGGAGCTCCGCGGCGGATCGCCGAGACATGATTTCAGCTTGGGGTAATTAGGCCCCGAAGGGCCCCAAGAGGAAGACCATGTTCTGAATACCGAAGAAGGGGATGTCTACTTCCAGTGAGTCGGAGAGGGCCAACCCATCCCAATGATCTGTGGACCTAAAAAACCGCTCAGAGAGGCATAGCGGCAGAACCCAAGAACAATCCGAATGCGGCATCCAGGTAAAAGTTTGCTGGAGGTTTTAGTTTCCAACTCGGTGTGGAAATTCGTGGTTTTGAGAGTCATTGTCATTGTTGATGACTAGTTGGTGCGAGAGTCAACTAATGATCAGTGCGTGTGATTTTGGTGGAATCTATTTGGTGATTCTGGAACTGGAGTCAGTGCGTGTAAGTTCTTGTCTTGACTGGTGCAGTTATCATCTTCGGCGCAAGCCAAGTACGGACCACTTGGGCCCCACAACCCTCGCCTCCTTCCGCGCGAGCATCCTTATTTCCTGTTTGGTTTTGCTGTCCTTGGCGAGAGTCACTATGAAACGCCACCCCGGCTTCCCAGGTACCCACGTAGGACTGGACAGAAGCTGCCATGGAAATGGTGGATGTAAGAATGTGAGAAGGACTATTCTTGAGCTTTTCTTCTTGTCTTTATCCATGACGCCACGCTCTTCCAAGAACTCTTTGTATATCTCCTGCCACACTGAAGAAGCGTCTTGTCTGCCATACATGGTCTTCAACAGCTTCGCGCACTTCCCAGGAATTTCACGTCCACGCAACAGACAGGTTCACATAAACCGGTCTCCTTGACAAACCATAGAAAATGCCAGTTAGCAACCATGTCCTTCAAGTCCGCCAGTAGACCTGTGAGGAAAACGGTTGGTGAACTTGACTTCGGTAGCTCGAAGGCAAAGCAAAAAGACCGCCTTGCGGCCTTGCTCTGTGACGTTTTGACCAAGGCCTCCAGGCGTGCCCTCCTCAGAACTTCTGAACTGCTAGTAATGTCTCCGCACCAAGTTACGCCAACTGTTGGGGCGAATCCAATCACCCCCTCAAAAGGTGCTGGGCTCCCTGGCTGTTTTTCCGGATTTGGCACGCAGTTTGGGTCGGCAACGTCGATGTGCCTTTGCCTAAGGGCATTCTGACAAGAGTGCATTGGCCATTCTTAGCGAGCGGCCCTTTGGAGCGAGAGCGCTTGACCGATTTCCTGTGACCTTCTCCGTCGTTCGGCGAGCTCGCCCACTGCCTTGACTCGCTTTTCAACAGTGATGCAACCTGCGATTTACCATTTTGAACTATGCACCGAATGCAGGGAATGCAAATCAACGGCTCTCGGTCTTCTAGTCACCAAACTTTCTTCGAACCTCTGTAACATCCTACCGAACACTAGTACTGCGTACTATGCATCTTGTTATTTGTTGGTGCTCTTGGAGCTTCTGAAAAGTGCTGCTCTCTAGCCAAACCTTTGCATTGTTGGATTGTACCTGATGCTTGACTCTGCGTCGTCGAAGAAAACCTTTGATTCTTCTCTGGCCCGAAGTAGACTATGAATTCTTTGCCAAACAAAGCAGAAAGCTCTGAAGGCTCTGGTGCAGTGGCTCTGGTACTGTGACCTGAAGGCTCTGGTGCTGGGGGTCTTAATGGAAGAGTCCTGCCTGACTTCGGAAGAGTCTCTCAACCAAAAACAGGCACCGAATCTTGGACGGAAGCGTTCAGGTTCTTCAACACTGAAGGGTCAGTGAC